CGGGGAAGGGCCGCCGCCCCAAGGTTGGGCGCGGCGGAGGAGGCGGGGGTGCGGGAGGGGGTGGTGGTGGAGTCGGGTCGTCTGGTGCTGGAGCGGACGAGGGGACCCTGCCCAGTCCAGCTGAGCCGCCGCCCCTGCAGTCGCAGCAGCAGCAGCAGCCGCAGCAGCCGCCGCAGTCGCAGCAGCCGCAGCCTTCGCAGCAGCCGCAGCAGCCGCCGCAGACGAGGCGGACGAGTGTCCTCCCGCCCGGGTCGGGCGCGTGGTGGTGTGCCGAGTGGTGGTTCTGGAGGCGTGCGTTGTCAGTAGCAGATCCAGACCGGTCCTCGCCGCGGCTTCGTTTGCGGTAAGATCGGTCACTCTACTCCCCGCTGTTTTCGTCGCCTGGACGACCTGTTTCGTCAGCACTTCGGCCCGTCGCCAGACCTCCCGGACTGGCACAGTTTGCTTAGTCGTAAGATTCAGATTTTTGACATGGACATGGATGCCATTGTTTCTGTTCTGCATGTGATGTATGATGATGACTCTAGTGTGCTTCCCGCTTATTACTCACTGTCGGCTAGTGTAGGTGTGCCTAGCTTAGCCTCCCCTGCTGCGTCAGGCGTAGGATCCCCTGCTTTGTGTAGTCTTGGTGCTTCCGTCGTCGTTCCGTCGCCAGACGCCTCTGCTTCGCTTTCCTTCACCTTGGACTCTGGCGCTTCCCGGTGTTTCTTCCGCGACTTCACCACACTGACGCCGCTTCCTGTTCCTGCTGTCGTTTCTCTTGCTGACCCCTCCGGCGGTCCGGTAGTCGCCCGCAGTTCCACCACCCTTCCCTGTCCGGCGGTTCCTTCGGGCACTCTCACAGGTCTGCATATCCCCTCGTTCTCCAGGAACCTAGTTGGTGTCGGCTGCCTCCAGGACCTTGGCGTCACCACTACGTTCCCTGGTCACGAGCGGTATGCTGTCTGTACCGAGGCCGCCACGGGTGCCCCCCTGTCCACGTTCCCCCGGGACCCGGTGTCCGGCCTGTTCACTCTGGACACCGTGACCCCCCCGGCTGGGGCGCTCCCTCAGGCGGCTGCGTCTACCCAGGTTGCTGCTGCCTGCTCCTGTCGGTCCCTCACTCACCCGACTCTCCTTTGGCACCATCGCCTAGGTCACCCTGCGCTCCCGCGTCTGCGTCACATGTCCCAGCACGGTCTTGTCCTTGGTCTCCCAGGTTCTCTCCCCGCGTTTCCCTCCTCCCCAGCCCCACCTTGCACACCTTGTGTCGAGGGTCGGCTTCGCCGTGCCCCTCACTCCTCCTCGTTTCCCTCTACCGCCGCGCCACTGCAGACCCTGCACCTGGACGTCTGGGGCCCCGCCCCCGTCCCTGGGCCGCGTCGCGAGCGCTACTTCCTTGTGCTTGTCGACGACTTTACTCGTTACACCACAGTCTTTCCCCTGGAGCGCAAGGCCGACGTGCCTGGCGCTCTCATCCCCTGGCTTGTCTCTGCGCGTGTCCACCGCGGTCTCCCTGTCTTGCGTCTTCACTCCGACCGTGGTGGCGAGTTTGCCTCAGGTGTCCTTGGTCGCTTTTGTCGTGCGGAGGGCATCTCCCAGACGTTCACCCTACCGGACTCCCCACAGCAGAATGGGGTCGCTGAGCGACGCATCGGTTTGGTCATGGAGGTGGCTCGCACCTCCATGATCCATGCCGGTGCACCCCATTTTCTGTGGCCGTTCGCTGTGCGCTACGCTTCTCACCAGCTTAATGTGTGGCCGCACCCTCAGCAGCCGCAGGTTTCGCCGACCCGTCTTTGGACTAGGTCTCCTGGTGACGCGTCTGCGTTCCACGTCTGGGGCTGCCTTGCTCACGTTCGTGCCTCCGGCACGGACAAGCTCACTGCCCGCACCCTTCCCTGCGTCTTCCTCGGCTTTCCCCTTGACGCGTCTGACTGGCACTTTTACCACCCGCCGTCTCACCGCTTCTTTCACTCTCGCGACGTCACCTTTGACGAGTCCGTCTCCTACTACCGTCGCTTCCCCCACCGCGGTCCCCCGGTTACCCCCCCCCTGTTCCTGGTCACTCCTGGTCCCTGAGGGTGACCCAGACGCTTTCGACATCCCGACCCCTCGCACCTACGCTGAGGCGACCTCGGGACCTTGGGCCTCTCAGTGGATAGCTGCCATGGAGCAGGAGATGGCATCTTGGAGATCCACCGGCACCTTCGTCGACGCAGTTCCCCCGCCTGGGGTGAACGTAGTCGATGGCCGCTGGCTCTTCAAGTTGAAGCGCCCTCCTGGAGAGCCGCCTGTGTTCAAGGCGCGCTACGTGGCTAGAGGCTTCAGTCAGCGTGAGGGGGTGGACTTCTTCCTGACCTTCGCTCCGACCCCGAAGATGACTACTCTTCGGGTTCTGTTACACCTAGCTGCTCAGCGTGACTACGAGCTTCACTCCCTCGACTTCTCCACTGCCTTCCTTCAGGGCAGCCTACACGAGCAGGTCTACTTGCGTCGCCCTCAGGACTTTACTGGCACCTTCCCTCCTGGGACCCAGTGGCTCCTGCGGCGCCCTGTCTACGGCCTGCGCCAGGCTCCCCGTGAGTGGCACGACACTCTCCGTGCTACGCTTGCTGACCTGCAGTTCTTTCCGGCTTCCGCAAACCCCTCACTCTTCGTTCGTGCTGGCCAGACTCCGTTCTGCATCCTTGTTTACGTCAACGACCTGGTCTTTGCCACAGCAGACAGGGACGCACTAGCCTCCGTGAAGGCAGAGCTGCTGAAGAGACACACGTGCACTGACCTTGGAGAACTGCGCCGCTACCTTGGGTTGCAGATCTCCACGGACAGAGCAGCGCGCACCATCACCCTGACTCAATCACACTTGGTGCGCCAGGTCCTTCAGAGGTTCAGCCTTCAGTTCTCCTCTGCACAGCCCACCCCTCTGCCTGTAGACCACAGACTCTCCGCTCCAGTGTCTGAGGAGTCGGTAGAGCCCAGCGGCCCCTACGCAGAGCTGGTGGGTTGCCTCATGTACCTGATGACTTGCACTCGCCCAGATCTCGCGTACCCTCTCAGCATCCTGGCTCGCTTTGTGGCCACAGGCAGACACCGACCGCAGCACTGGTCTGCCGCTAAGAGGGTTTTGCGTTATCTTGCTAGTACATCGGGCATGGGGTTAGTGCTAGGAGGACGCAGGCCAGTGGTCCTTACTGGACACACAGACGCTTCGTGGGCAGACGATGCCGAGACACTCAGGTCTACCCAGGGCTACTGCTTCAGCCTTGGCTCAGGTGCCGTCTCGTGGAGAGCTACCCGCTCCTCCTCTGTTGCCCAGTCCAGCTGTGAGGCTGAGATCTACGCTGGTGCCATGGCGGCACAGGAGCTCCGCTGGCTGACCTTCTTGCTCACTGACTTAGGTGAGCGGCCTAGCTCTGCTCCGGTCCTGTTCGCTGACAACAGGGCCATGATCCTCCTGTGTCGGGAGCCTCGACTCGAGGGTAGAGCAAAGCATATTCAGCTGCGATACTTCCTCCTGCGCGAGCTACAGCAGCGACGCCAGGCTCGCGTAGTACACTTGGCCTCAGGTGCCAACACAGCTGATATCTTTACGAAGGCGCTTGCGCCTAAAGATCATCAGCGGCACTGCGTACAGCTTGGTCTAGTTCCTGTAGCCTCTCACTTGCTAGGGCCTTGACTTTGTACTGTCCTTTATATGCATACTCAGACTGGACTTGTGTCCTCTCCCAGTGGCTGGACTAGTAGTGCCGCCCTGGTCTTGTTCTTGCCTTGTCTCAACTCCGTCTGACTGGTCTTTTAGACCCTTGTCTCAGAGGTTGGACTAGTAGTGCCGCCCTGAGCTGCTTGTTCAGGTCATTCCCCTATGCAGTCTAGGGGGTGTGTCAAACATAAGTATAACTCATATTTATATAGACTGTATAGGGTCGCCTCTTAGAGGGTACAACACTCTTAGGTATATACCCTTGTACTCTCTCTCTATTCAACAATTCTTCAGTTCTAAGACACAGATGCAGAGCGTGGGGGGTTATGGGCGCACTTAACCGCTACGTAACAAGCCCTTTTAACCTAGTGGTTAGTGACTGAGTTCTGACACTACCTTCCTGCCAACTCAATGGCTGAGTGTATATCTTGGCTAGTGACTGTGCCATCAATTACCTTGGGGATGGCTCGTCATATTTCTTGTAAAGCCGAGCAGTTTGACTGAAGGACGTCTTAGTGGTTTATCTATATTATACCATCTTGAGGGTGTCAAACCGCATTCTGTGCCGACGTGACACTTGCCTTATAAGGAGCCACAAGGTATTCTGGCAGCTAGACAACTCCTGAGGTCATGCCAGTCTTTCGAAGTCGCCTCTGCTCAGCCACTAGTCCTTGCCCAACCTCTGTGCCGAGGCTGAGCTATTCGAAGCTGGCCACAACTTACGACGTGGGTCTCGAGCCTGGTCTGGTATGGGGTGGTTTGGTAGGAGGGGGAGGCCAGGGAACACACGTCATAGCCTAGACGCCCGGCTTGATTGGTTGATGCCGTGGTGGGCGGTTCGGGACCACTGCTCGTGCGTGTAATATTCCTTGCTGTTCTGGACCTATCTGCCAGCGTTGCTCGGCTTGACTACAGTAATTGTTGGATCGCAAGCTCGCCTGTTTATTGGCTCGCGATTCGCGAGACTCCGTGGAGGGATGAGTTCGCTTGGCCTGCTCGCGAGTGCTACAGCGTGCGGTGTGAAGTCCTCAGCTGCTCTCGCAGGTGTCGGTACAGTTTTCGTGGTGTTTTCGCTGAACCTAACGAGCCAATCTGGCCGAGTCAGGAAGGGCGAGTGTTCCGGTTCGCCTAAATGACAGGCGAGAGACAGGGTATCGACGGACAGGATTACCTGAATCTCAACCTGACGATCTTGACCGTATGAATCTTGCCACAAGGGCGGAACGCGCACCAGCTTCTCCGAGCCTGCTTTCCTTTCCGACTTTCTTTCTGCCCCTCCTCTTTTCATCCTACCTCCTCCTATATGCATGCCATCTCTTGAGTGGATTCGTTTACTCAACCACTGCTCAACAACTAGTCTTCTTCAGTGCTCGTTTCTGGATAAAATAGCATCACCGTCTATGTTTGCTCCAATTGTGCCTGCTTGCCGCAGCCTCAGTCGCGTCACTCGTTTCCAGTAGTTTGGAGTCGCAACCACTTTGAATTTCCCGTTTTCGCCCGTCACGCTCCACAGTTCCCTCAGTTGGAAAAAAACCTCCAGGACTCGGAGTCCGACTTCTGCCACCTTCAAATCCCGCCAGAGTTCAGGACATTTGCCAGATTTCTTGCCAAAGTCTGTCAGACTTCAGTCAGCTTGCTGCCGAGTCGGCGTACTTTGCGATTAGACTTAGCTTAGTTGACTCTACGCTACGGTGGTTTCAGTTCGCGGAAGAGCGGCGCGGCTCGGGCGCTGGCGCTCTTGTCACCTTGTTTTATCTCTCGGCGGTCCCGGCTGGGCTCACCTTGAACGGCCGAATGCTGGAGATGGGTTTCTCTTGCTGCTTCGGAAGCTTCGCGGAGGGCGAGCATTGTAGGATACATAAGAGTGATTTGCGATTTTGTAAGTTATGATTTGTGACTTATGATGTGTGAGTTATGACATGTGAGTTATGATCTGTGAGTTATGATTTTGTGAGCGCGGCAGCTCTTCTGGAGACACTTGTGAACACCTTGTCGAGTACGAAACTCTTACTCAAAACACACTTTCCGGAGGCGAGCTTCGTACAAGACATGGTAAGAGTGAGTATGGTTTTCGTGAATTGTGAGTGAGTATGGTTTTCGTGAATTGTGATTTTTGTGAGTGTTCATTTTTCGAGTGCAGCAGCTCTTCTGGCAAAAACTTTTATTTGCCCGACTGTCACCAGCTGGGCCAAATTTCTTCGTCAATGCAGTTCCCATCTACTGTTTCTACTCGCCATTTTTTGTGACCTAGTTTGTGTGTGTCCTCTTGTTCATGTCCTGCTTTTAACGCGGACAGTGCTAGTGTAGGTTTGTAGGGCAGACCCACTACTGCAGTCGGCTCGCACGCGCCATCCTCGTTTCCAAGCAGCCCCCTTGCAAACCTTATCCACTGCTGCGACAATTAATCCCAATAGTCTAGGTTGCACACGGTGTGCCCAGCCTCCGTCCCCCAAACCACCTCGCTGCTATCCATCGCATGAACCTTTTGGGAGGTCGGCCACATGCTTCCCCGATAGCAGTTCTTTTCCGCGATGCCGTAAGTTCCACTTTCGACTCCTTCTTTTCCTCACAGGCCGCCGAAAGTCCGGGGAGTTCATCCCCGTTATAATGAAGCGCGTGGGCGCGGACGGCACCCTGCCGCGGTACTCAGAGGACGAGCTGCGGCGGGCGACGGGCGACTGGCGGAACAAGCTGGGGGAAGGGGGCTTCGGGGCGGTCTATAAGGGCATGCTGCTGGTGCGGGGGGGCGGAGATGGCGGAAACGGGGAGGAGGAGGAAGAGGAAGAGGAGGAAGTGGGGGAGGGAAAAGCGAAGTTGGAAACGGTGGAAGTGGGTGGGAAGGAGTTTGTTCCGGTGGCGGTGAAGATGTGTCTGACTGGGGATGACGCAGATGGAAGGGAGCAGCTGCTGGTAAGCCGCTGTGAGAGGGTGTGGAACATGGTTCTCGCTTTCCTTAATTGCGGAATCCAGGTCGCGGTTTTGGTGAAAAGCCACTATTTCGGTGCTGGAAAATTGGATTGCACTTGTGAGTGTTCCAGTACCCGGCTGGAACATTGGGTTGCACTTTGGGGAAATATTGGCCGTGGGACGGGTGGGTTGGAATGCGGTTTCGTGTCGTGGCACGAAAATAGCCTCAAAGTTCCGCAACCTCGACTTTCGGCGAAGCCTCCATGCGACGTTTGACGACACCGGTAACCAGGCTCGATTGCGCAACTTTGATAGATTCTGTAATCCATGTTTCACGCCTCGAGCCGTTCATCAAACCGCTATGGTCTGGTGCTCCCCAGAACCCCCACATGTGTCTCCTCTATGGCTGCTCCCCTGGTTCCCCCCACTCGTCCCCCATCTATGGCTGCTCCCCTGGTTCTCCCCACTCGTCCCCCCTCTATGGCTGCTCCCCTGGTTCCCCCCACACGTCCCCCATCAATGCCTGCACCCCTTGTTCCCCCCACACGTGCCGCCTCCATGGTTGCACCTCTGGTTTCCCCCACACGTCCCCCCTCTTTGGCTGCGCCCCTGGTCCCCCCCACACGTCCCCCCTCTATGGCTGCGCCCCTGGTTGCCCCCACATGTGCCGCCTCCATGGTTGCGCCTCTGGTTTCCCCCACACGTCCCCCCTCTTTGGCTGCGCCCCTGGTCCCCCCCACACGTTCCCGCTCTATGGCTGCGCCCCTGGTTCCCCCCACACGTGCCGCCTCCATGGTTGCGCCTCTTGGTTCCCCGCACATCTGTCCCCCCTATGGTTGTCCCCCCTATGGTTGTCCCCCCTATGGTTGTCCCCCTTGTTTCCCCGCGAGTGGCCATTTCTTCCCAAGTCTTCCCTCTCCACCTCTCTTCTTCCCCTCCCCTCTCCACCTCTCTTCTTCCCCTCCCCTCTCCACCTCTCTTCTTCCCCTCCCCTCTCCCTCCTTCCGCCATTACCTTGGCAGGCGGCGATCATGGTCATGTTAGCCCTTCGCCAACGTGCCTCCCGCTCTCCCCCTAACCTCTCCACCCTACCCCTCCCCCCCCCCCCCTTCCTCCCCCCTCCTCCCCTCTCCTCCCCCCCCCTTCCCCCACTTCTCCTTGCCAGACTGAGATCATGGCCATACGGCCCTGCGCCACCTTAACATGATATTAGGTCTCAACCCCCCTCTTCCTTCCCCCCTCAGTCGGAGATCATGGCCACGATGGCCCGGCGGATCGGGGTCGCAACACATGCCGAGGCTCCTCAAGCCCCCCTTGAAGGAACTAGCTTTGAGGAGAAAAGTATGATTGAGTAAGGAGCCGAGAGGCTCTATTGTACAAACAAGGAGCAAGGAAGAGGCGAAAGGGAAGCTCTCCTATTGGCCATAAAGTGGATTAATGGGAGAGGTTGCTTGGAGGGCAAGCAACCACAAAGTGTGGTGCTTGGTGATTTGTTGGTTCGTAGAACCATTTGGTTGGAATAGTGCCAACCAAATGTCTAGGACCAAATCCAAACTTGACCTACCCAAATGTGGGGTTGGTCAACCCAACAAACAACCCTCCAATAAATATAATGACTACACCTCCTAATCTAGGCATGCATGTTGTATATGTATATATTTTACAACACCCCTCTCCCCCCTTTCCCTCCACTCCCCCTCCCCCTCACCCCTGAATCCCCTCCCCCCATCAGACAGAGATCATGGTCATGACGGCCCTTCCCCTCCCCTCTTCCTCCTCCCCCCCGACTGACTGAGATCATGGCCATGCCTTCTCTGCGGCATCCCACCACATCATGCGGCACCTCAAGACCCCCTCTCCCCACTGGCCCACTTCGCCGCGCCCCTCCGCCCCCCTCCCCCTCAGACTGGGATCACGGCCATGACGGCCCTCCAGCATCCCAACCCACTCTGAGCGTCTCCATTCCCCCTTCCTCCCCCCTCAGATTGACATCATGCCTCATGCCTCACGCCTCATGCCTCACGCCTCACGCCTCACGCCTCGTGCCTCATGCCTCATGCCTCATGACTGCCCTCCAGCGTGCCAACATCCTGCGCTGCTGGGTGTGGCAATGATGGGGCAAGGCTCTTGTGACTCAAACACCCTTTCTCCGCCCCTCCTCCCCTCCACCTCCTCCTGCCTCGCAGACGGAGATCATGGTCATCACAGCTCTGCGCCACCCTAGCATTATACACCCCCCCACCCTCCCTTCCCTTGGCAGACGGCGATCATGGTCATGATGGCCCTCAGGCATCCTGGGACATTCTGAGGAACCCCTTTCGCCCGTTTCCCCTCCCTCCCCCAGACTGAGATCATGGTGATGACAGCCCTCAGGCATCCCAACATCCTGCGGCTGCTGGGAGTGGTTATGATGGGCGAAACCATCGCCATGGTGTCTGAGTTCGTCCCAGCCGGGGATGTTTCGCAGCGACTCACGAGAGGTATTGTGATGTAATGTGGTGGAATGCGGTGGGATGGGGTGGGCACGTGTACACATGATGTTTTGCAGCGACTCACGAGAGATATGTGGACGGGGTAGCCATCTGCGGGCCATCTCTTGCTGCTGGGACGGGAGTGGCGATGATGGGTGAGACCATTGCCATAGTGTCTGAGCTCGTCCCGGCCGGGGATGTTTCGCAGCGATTGATGAAAGGTAGGGCGGTGTAATGCGGTGGGGTGTGGTGGGGTGCGGTGGGCCTGTGTACGCATGATGGGGGAAAACATCACGATGGTGTCTGTGAGTTCGTTCCTGGGGAGGATATGTCGCAACGACTAGAAAAAGGTAGGGCATTGTAATGCAGTGGGATGCAGTGGGCTGCATTGGGATGCCGTGGGCTGCGGTGGGATGCGGTGGGTCTGTGTGCACAGGGTGGGTAACTCCATCTCCGCCATGTTTTCAGAGTCCAATCCTGGGGGGAAATGTTCCGCAGCGCCTGGAGAGAGGTAATGCGGTATCACGAGGTGTAATGTGGTGCCACGATGTGTGTCGCTGTGTGATGGGTGTATTATAACTACGCATGATGGGGCAACCATTGCCTTGCTCTCAGACTTCGCCCTCGGTGGGGTTGTTTCTCAAGGTCTGGAAAGAGGCAGTGCGGTGTGATGGTGCATCATACCTAAACCATTGCCATTTTCTCAGACTTCGTTCGTCCTGGGCACTGGGGGGGTCTGCTCTGCAGCGATTTGGAAAGGTAGGGCGGTGCAATGCGGTGGTGTTCGGTTGGCGTGTGAAGCAAGCCATTGCCATGCCCAGACCAGAATGTGACCTGGGCGGGTATGCTTCTCACCGACTGGAAAGAGGCAATGCTCCTCTAGAAGAAGCAAGCCGCTTTTGAGTCGACTCAAAGAGGTAATGCTCCTCTAGAAGAAGCAAACTGAGCAAGCCTAGCAGGCGGGACAGGTGGGGGCAAGCCTAGCAGGTGGGGAGGTGGTCGAAAGCCAAGCTATGTGAAGTCTAACTCCTTCCGTGTGAGCTGACACGTCCCTCTGTCGCCCTGTCCCTGCTCCTGTCTCCCTCCAACCCTCTGTCGCCCTTTCCCTGCTCCTGTCTCCCTCCAATCCTCTGTCTGCAAGCAGCATCCAAGGGCATCGAGCCTTTCCCCTGGAAGGATCGGCTGCGCATAGCCGTGGGAAGTCTTGAGGGGCTGGCAGCAATTCACAAGGAGGGATTCATTCACCGCGATTTCAAGGCCGCCAATGTGCTGCTAACGAAGGTGAGGCACTCCAATGTGCTTCTAACAAATGTGAGCCGTTTCATTTTGCTCAATTGCTGCCTCGTTTGTTCAGTTACCAACAAACTCCGTTGTATTCACTGAAACCGGGGTTTTGGTGACCCGGCAATAATCTCCGAATAGAGTGTAGAGTAAACCGAAAGTTTCAATTCGGAGGATTAAAGTTTTGAGGCTAGATGGTTTCAAAGACTGTCCCCCTGTTTCTTAAACTAAGTGCTGCATCAAGGCTTCAAGGCCGTGCGTTGCCCTGTTTCTGAATGGGTGGCAATATGCATGCTGTGCCGAGGCAGCTTGTTGGCCTAGAAACTGAACTGTTAACCATATAGCAATAAAAGTTCTGAACCTCGTTTTCAAGTGTTTCGCGCGAATGCTTGATGCGCAAAGGTTGGCTTTCCGCACGCATTTCCAGACCCTTGTTCCAAAGTAAACATACAAACTCGTGCTGCCATTGCCTAATTGTATCTGTTTGCTTCGTGTTCCCTGCCGTCTCTCCCTGCCATCTCTCCCTGCCGTCTCCCCATGCGTCCAGACACTTGTTCCCAAAGTGGCGGATTTTGGGCTCGCCAAGGCGTGCCAGGACAAGACACATGTCACGACGCGAGTGGCTGGGTCGTTTGGCTACATCGATCCAGAGTATTTTGAGCGAGGTGAGCTTCAAGAATTTCTCAGAAATCGTGTGATGGTGGTCGTTCCTTGCATAGAAGCACTGTCGGCACCATGTGCCCGGCCTACTATCATGTGCTCGGCCTACTATCATGTGCCCGGCCTACTATCATGTGCTCGGCCTACTATCATGGCTCAAGGCTGCATGGAACCAGAGTGTCTGTTGCATCCCTAGAGTTGTGATGTGCTTGTGGTGTGTTTTGAGTCGACTCAAACACACAAGGCTGGTGTGTTTTGAGTGTGCACATGAACCCAGAGTGTCTGTTACATCCCTAGAGCGTCTGTTACATCCCTAGAGTGTCTGTTGCATCCCTAGTGTCTGTTGCGTTCTTAGAGCTGTGATCTTGCTCGTGGCTCTTGGCAGTCTAATCCTAGTTTCCCCATCAAAGCGGGACATCGCTTATAAGGCTCCTCCTCACGCCAAAGCTCATACTGATCCTTCCAATGCCAGCGCCTGATCCATGTGGCCCGGCTGCCTTTATCGCCTCCAATGCTAACGCCCGATCCAACTTTTGAAGTGCCTCATTCATTGCTCCAACCCATGTTTCTGATTCATTGGCTCAGCTGCTCTTATTCCCACTTTGCACACCAGGATTCTTGTCATCACATTGCGACACGTACGCCTTCGGCGCTTTCCTTCTAGAGCTGATCACTGGCAGCTGCGCGCAGAGTGAAGCCTCCCTAGAATCAAGAAGACTGCTGAGGGATCCAGGCTTCACTGATTATGCCAAGTTGTTTGACAAAAACTTGGAGGGGCAGTGGACAAAGGAGCAAGCAAAAGTTGTGGCTTCGATAGTGCAAGGATCGCTTCAAACTGATTGGGCTAGCCGGCCAACCACCGAGGAGTTGCTGGAGATATGGAGGGAGAACCCTGTCCTAGCAGTGTGAGGAAACAACTTTTGAAACTTGGGTGTGGTGTTGGTGGAATATTGCATGCAGATGTATTATGTACAGTTAATGCAGCTTTGTTTTGGTAGGATTGGTATTTGCTTGTGTCCGTGGCGTTATGCTCCTTACAGAAGATGTATTGCCAGGCCCCTTGTTTCGTTTTTGGACCACGCTTATTGATTGGTGTCATTGTGTTAAGGCAATCCTAACACATGAGTATATCTAAGTGTGAACAAAACAGTACTTATCCCCGTTGTCGTTCCAACCGTAATAATCCCGTTGTCGTTTCAACCAGTCACATCACGGCCTCGTTCCTCGGAAAGTGATCCCTTGGATTTCGCTGGCTTGACACGCTCTATGGTTACGCATTTCGCGAACGTCGCGCTGGTTCCTCGCGAATCCCTCTCGGGGCGTTTAGATCCACACCACACTCCACACTAGTGGTGTCTCCCACCACCCTTCCCACCTCCGTTCTCCTGGTCGTCCAGTCGACCGTTTAAAAACAGACAGAACCCTTATACAACTAGATTCACCTCATTGAACCGCACTTAAGTGAACTCTGTACAACATGCCATCAGCCACCACGTCTCCAACACCCGTACAGTCTGCACGCTGAACAGTTCTATGTCGACTCATCAGAAGTTCCAGCTACAGAAGTGCTCCTCTGACTTCAACAGACCGTGCCTCTCGTCTTTGTGGTACTGTAGGCTTCTTCCTGCTTCTGCCTCGCAATCTGTTAGGGCGTGGAACATACGGTTCTGGTCTGTTCGAACTTCCAGTGGAACATACGGTACCGGACCGGAGGTCAGGTACAATGTGGTACAGCGTGCTTTTGTACGTTTCAAAAGACGTTTTGAGAAGTACAGTTTTAAAACCGCCGTTCCAAAAGTCGGGAAACTCCGATGGGAGGATGGGAGTGGAGGGTCCCTCCGATCATACTTGCCACACGCCAGCTGTCAGTCACCTCCGTTCGAACCCTGCCCATTGAGACAACTCCGTCAGTTTCCCTCCCAAGGCCAGTTCTCTCACGGCTTGCCTCTCGTGCTGCGTGGTACTACTAGTAACAGCTTGCCTGGCGTCTCATTACGCAGAAGTTACATTCAAAGTAGTCCCTAAAATGCCATAACTAAGGCATACTACCAACATCTCGGGAGTTAGTCGCGTGTCACCACTGCTGTACCAGGGCGGTTAGTGGTCGTTTAGAACTTCAAAGTCGCTCAACTGGGCGGTAAAATGTCGTTACTTTAAAGCGTACCAAGAGTGCTGAAGCGGTATCCGGTCGTCTCGTAGTACCTGACTCGGACGTCGGACGTCATTTGGTGCCCACCGGAGTCATTTGGGTCATTTGGAGCTGCTGAAGCGGCATGTCATCGCGAGGAGTCTATATTTGAGGCGCATTAAGAATGGGCTTGTCATCGTTTTTATACTTGACTCGGAGTTTCTGTCTAACGTCTCGTTTTTAACGTCGAGAGTTTCGAATCGTCTCCCTCGATACGCCCAGAGTCTCGCCTCCCACTAACACGGCGGAAGTTTGTCGATCGCATCGTACCTGTTTCCCGAACGTCGCTCGGTCGTCTCGTTCTTGTCCTCGGGAGTAACGCCTGGTTTGGACATGATGCCGACCTTCTGCTCCTGCTTCGGGGGGATCATGTCGTGTTTGCGTAGAACCAAGGGTGAGCCATCACGAGATGTAAGGATATATCCGATGCCAAGCTCGACTCGAGCCTGGCATCTGAATGCGAGGGGTGGGTATGCCACACTTCTGTTCCTGCTTGGGCGGATCATGTCGTGTTTGCGTAGATGCAAGGGTGAGTCGTCATGCGAAATGTAAACGAATAAGGAAAGATCGAACTTGGCATCTGAATGCGAACGGTGAGTATGCCGACCTTTTGTTCCTGCTTCGGGGGAATGGTGTCGTGTGCACGCGAAACCCGAAACAAGGGTGAGTCATGAGATGAGCTACAAGTGTACATATACTTAATAGTATAAGTCGGTCACGGAAAAGTCACAAACTGGAGAGTTTCAGGTGTGTTTGCGGATGTCACTTTCGGACACACTTTACAGTTCCAAGGTGATGGGTGAGGGACAGAAACGGGACACCCGTGAGGCATTGTCGTCGTGCATAATCTGACAACATGTAATGGAGGACAGATATGGGTGGGGATGGACATGCAGGGAAGCAGTGTCTTTGCTGACCACAGTACACTTCAGTACTTACCAGTTTGGCTGCATGAAAAAAATGTTTAAAAAAGAAAAGAAAAGAAAAGAAAAAGCATTGTTCGTTACGCAGGGAACATGTACGTCTTGTGATGGCTACCCGGAGATGATGCTTGTAGGGTCGAACGGCAAAGCCGCGGTAATAAGTGGACCATCTCGCTTCTCTCGTCCTCCTTCCCCCCTCTCCCCCCCCCCCCCACTTACCTTCCTTCGTTAGTCAGCATGGTCCCAGTCAGCATGGTCCCAGGCAGCATGGCCCCACTTACTTTCCTGCTTTGCTCTCCCCTACCACGAAACATCGAGCCCGTTACGATGAAGCGCGTGGGCGCGGACGGCACCCTAACACGGCACTCAGAGGACGAGCGGTCTCCTTCACCCCTCCTAACCCCCGTTCCCCCTCTTTTCCCTTCCGCCCTTCCCTTCCCAGGACACAGTGAGCCCGTTGTAATGAAGCCCATCGCGGCGGACGGCAACCTGCCGCGGTACTCAGAGGACGAGCTGCGGCGGGCGACGGGCAACTGGCAGAACAAGCTGGGGGAAGGGGGCTTCGGGGCGGTCTATAAGGGCATGCTGCTGGCGCGGGGGGCAGGGGGCGGGGAGGAGGAAGAGGAGGAGGAGGACGAAGAGGAGGGGGAGAAGGAGGAGGAGGAGGAGGACGAGGAGGAAGACGCGGGGGAGCCATTGGCTGGGTTGGAAACGGTGGAAGTGGATGGGAAGGAGTTTGTTCCGGTGGCGGTGAAGATGTGTCTGGCTGGGGGCGATGTGCAAGGGGGAAGGGAGCAGCTGCTGGTGAGTGGCTCTAGGTGCTGGTGGCTGTAGGTGCTGGTGGCTCTAGGTGCTGGTGGCTCTAGGTGCTGGTGGCTGTAGGTGCTGGTGGCTCTAGGTGCTGGTGGCTGTAGGTGCTGGTGGCTGTAGGTGCTGGTGGCTGTAGGTGCTGGTGGCTCTAGGTGCTGGTGGCTGTAGGTGCTGGTGGCTCTAGGTGCTGGTGGCTGTAGGTGCTGGTGGCTGTAGGTGCTGGTGGCTGTAGGTGCTGATAAGTCTTTGCAGTAAAAGGGAGATGGGTTTGGGGATGCCTGCTGGAGGTTGAAAATGGTGTTGTTGATTCAGAAGGTGCAGTTCCAGCCAGCAGTGGTGAATATGTGTCACGCGGAGATCATGGTCATAGCGGCTCTGCTCTGTGCCTCTGTGCCCCTCAAGACCCCCTCTCTCCCGCTCCCCCTCCCCCCCCCTCCCCCTGCACTTTCCCCGCCCTCTCACGTCCTTGACAGACAGACTCACATCATGGTGATGGCAGCCCTCCAGGCTGCAGCATCCCAACACACTCTGAAACTCTGCGGACGCTTTCCCCCGCTCCCCTTGGCAGACGGAGATCATATTAACGATGGCCCTGCAGCATCCCAACACATTGTGAGGCATTCTATTCACTCTCCTTCCCCCCCCACCCACCCCCCCCTTCCCCCCACCATCAGACTGAGATCATGTTAATGACGTCTCTCCAGCATCCCAACATCCTGCGGCTGCTGGGAGTGGCCATGATGGGCGAAACCATCGCCATGGTGTCTGAGTTCGTTCCTGGGGGGGATGTTTCGGAACGCCTTCAGAAAGGTAATGCGGTGGGGTGGGGAACGGTGTGATACAATGCGGTGGGACTGTGTGCCTTCAGGCAGACCATCGCCATGGTGTCTGAGTTCGTTCCTGAGGGGGGATGTGTTGCAACGCCTCCAGAATGGTGTGTGTGCGATTGCAGTTTGTGTGCCTTAATAGAAGAACCTTCAAACAGAATGGTATGTGTTTCGAGGCTCCACAGAGGGTTCTTCTATCAATGCTCCCCAGCCCAAACTGTGCTTGCCTTCTGTTGACGCGCTTCAGGAGACGCCCTTTATCGTGTGAGGCGCTTCAGTGGTGCCTAAGCAAGCAACCATCGCCATGCTCTCATCGTTCGTGTGGTACAAGTTTAGTTTCGGGCGTCTCGAAACTAAACTTGTAACACACCTAAGCAAACACCTCCATGCTCTCAGAGTCCGTTTCGACACATCTCGAATGAGTTGGTTTCATGCAGGGACGTTTCTCAATGTCTTCAGAACGGTGTGTGCCTCAGGCTAATCTGGAAGTGTTACAGAGGTTGTGGCAGGCATGCTACATGGCATGCTACATGGCATGTTACATGGCAGCTGCATGAGTCGTTGATGTAGCACCATCACATAGGGCACCATCAGAGACATGGAAACGTTTCACGGGTTGTGGCAGGCATGCTACATGGCAGCTGCTTGACTGTTTGCTCTTGTGCCGGGGTAATTCTCAAGGGGATGGCAGCAAACCAACATGTGCACTCGTTTCTCTCTCCATCTCCCTTCCCTAAGCAGCAGCCAAGGGCATCGAGCCTTTCCCCTGGAAGGATCGGCTGCGCATAGCCGTGGGAAGTCTTGAGGGGCTGGCAGCAATTCACAAGGAGGAATTTATTCATCGCGATTTCAAGGCGGCTAATGTGCTTCTAACGAAGGTGAGTCACTCCAATGAGCCTCTGATGAAGGTGAGCCACTCCATCGTGATTCTAACCCAGCTAGTCAGCTGTGCTTTGAGTTTCAGCATTCTTCTCTGCGTGATATTGCAAGGGTAGTTGGCAGGCATGCTGCAAAGTGCTGGTCCATCCAGAGACGTAATCTCGTCCACGCCTGTGCATCTTTGTGGTCTGCGCATGTCTGGTCTGTGTGTCTCTGTGGTCTGTGCAGTCTCAAATCAGACTCCGTTATCCACGCCTTTTGCCTGGATCTCGCCTGGGTCTTTCCAGTCTGAGCATTTCGCCTGTGCATTCTCAAATCACGCCTTTTTTGTCCATACTTTTTGTTTTGGCCATGTTTTCAGAACCTGGTGCCAAAAGTGGCGGACTTTGGACTGGCAAAGTCGTGCCAGGATCAGACGCATATCACGACTCGAGTAGCAGGGTCACGAGGCTACATCGACCCTGCATACTTTGAGACAGGTGAGATGCGCACATAGCCCTCAAGAGTATGCGACAGGTGAGCTTCCAGCATCTGGATCCTTGTGTTTCTGTCTCTCTCCTCTCCCCTCCCCCACCGCCACCCCCCACCCCCCCCACCCATCCACACCCCACCCCTCAGGCCTCTTGACAGACCACTGCAACACATTTTATTTTGCCGTTTTTCTTCGCGAGCTGATCTCTGGTTGCTGTGTGCACGAGCGGCCGATTTCAGAGCTGCACAGCTTGCCTGGAGATTCAGACTTCTGCTTTTGGGCGTCTCGGGAGGATCATCATGCTTCTGTCTCTCCCCTCCCCCACCATCCCCCTCCCCCTCTCCCCCCCAACCACACACCCCTCCCTCCCACCCATCCCACTCCTCAGGCCTGTTTAGAGCTGGGCAGCTTGGCTGGTGGACCAGCCTTCCATTTCAAGGCGCCTCAGGACCCTTGTGTTTCTGTCGCTCTCCTCTGGGCCTTCCCCCCCCCACCCCCTCACCCCCCACCCTCCCCTCCCATCCCCCCCCCAACCCACCCCTCAGGCCTCTTGACAGACCACTGCGACACGTTTGCTTTTGGCATTTTTCTTCTCGAGCTGATCTCCGGGTGCTGCGTGCACGAGCAGCCTTTTTCAGAGCTGCACAGCTTGGCTTCGAAGCCGGACTTCACAGACTATGCGCGGGTGGTTGATAAGACCCTGGAGGGGCAGTGGACGGAGGAGGAAGTGAGTGTGTTGCTGTCTGTAATGCAAGACGCGATTCTGACCGAGTGGAAGCGAAGACCCAGTTCAGAGGAACTGCTTGAGAGATTAAAAAAGCTTGTTACAGATGAAGTTAGTGTAGTATCAGAGGAAGAATAGTGTTTTATCGAACCCAGCAACTTGTGCTTGGGTGCCTTATAGTGGAAAGTAGTCCGAGCCGAGCTCAGCATGCCATGCTGCATGGCTTGGTGTGAAATGCATACCAACGCTCCCATGCCTGGGATAACGGTATTTCGTGTCAACTTACATTTGTATATGTTATAGGCTAGATGTAGGTGCACGCTTATCGAGAGTACAACTCAGGACAAAACCACCTTGTATCACTCTTTCTAGTTCATTGCGTTATTCTGAGATGGTATCAAGGTAGGTTAGGTCCCCCTCCCTGCTTACGCTTCCGCCCCTAGCCCTAGCCCTAGCCCTACCCCTAGCCCGTGTCCTAGCCGTGCCCTAGCCCTAGCCGCGTCCTAGCCGTGCCCTAGCCCCAGCCGCGTCCTAGCCGTGCCCTAGCCCTAGCCACGCCCGCGCCCTAGCTCTGTCCGCGCCGGCCCCGTCACTTCGCGCCGGCCCCGCCGCTTCGCGCCGGCCCCCCCGCTTCGCGCCTGCCCCGTCCGTTCGCGCCGGCCCCTCTAGTTCGCGCCGGCCCCGCTAGTTCGCGCCGGCCCCGCTAGTTCGCGCCGGCCCCGTTAGTTTGCGCCGGCCTCGTCGCTTCACGCAGGCCCCGTCACTTTGCGCTGGCCCTGTCAGTTCACGCTGGCCCCGCTAGTTCGCGCTGGCCCCGTCACTTTGCGCTGGCCCCGTCAGTTCGCGCCGGCCCCACAGCTTGGTGTCGGGTGGCAGCTCCAGTGTGGTCATCTGCCAGTACCAGCTTCAGTCCTGCCCCCGCCGCGGCACCGCCTGCGACCGTCCCGGTCACACCGCCATCCGCTGCTACCGCTGCCTGGATGACCTCTTCCATCTCCGCTTCGGCACCGCGTCGGACCCCCCCGACTGGTACAGTCTGGTGCGTTGCCACGTGTCTGTCTTTGAGCTAGATATGGATCAGATTAGGTCTGCTATGTATGTCATGTATGTTGATGACTCTAGTGTGACTGAACCCTATTTCCCTGTGTTGCCTAGTGTAGGTGTGTCAACTGTGTGTAGCCTAGGTTCTCCTGCTGCATCAGGCGTAGGACCACCTGCCTTGTTTAGCCTCGGCTCCACTCTAGCTCCTCCGCCTTCGGACGCCACCGCCACCCTCTCTTCCACGCTAAATTCGGGTGCGTCCGCCTGCTTCTTTCGCGACCACACTATGCTCACGCCGCATGTCGCCCCTGTCGCTGTAGCACTAGCCTACACCTCTAAAGGTCTGGTAGTTGCACGGAGCTCCAGTAGCCTTCCCTGTCCGGCGGTTCCCTCGGGCTCCCTTACAAGCTTGCACATCCCCCGTCCTTGCACCTGGACATCTGGGGCCCAGCTCCCGTCCCTAGGCCGCATCGAGAGCGCTACTTTCTGGTGCTCATCGACGACTGCACGCGCTACACCATGGTGTTTCCCCTGGAGCGGAAGGCCGGCATGCCTGACGTTCATATATCATAGGTCGTAGCTGCGCAAGTCCACTGCAGCCTCCCTGTACTGCGTTTTCACTCCGACCGTGGCGGCGAGTTCGCCTCCGATCGGCTTGGCCAGTTCTGTCGCACAGAGGGCATCACCCCGTCGTACACCCTGTCATACTCCCCGCAGTAGAATGGGGTCGCTGAGCGACGCATCGGTTTGGTCATGGAGGTGGGTCGTACCTCCATGATCCTTGCCGGTGCACCCCATTTTCTGTGGTCGTTCACTGTTCGCTACGCCGCTCACCAGCTTAATCAGTGGCCCCACTCCCAGCGGCCGTAGGTTTCGCCGACCCTCCTCTAGACTGGGTCCCCTGGTGACGCGTCTGCGTTCCATCTATGGGGCTGCCTTGCTCACGTTCGTGCCTCTGGCACGGACAAGCTCACTGCTCGCATTGTCCCCTGTGTCTTCCTTGTCTTCCCCCTAGACGCATCTGACTGGCACTTTTACCACCCGCTGTCTCACCGTTTCTTTCATCCTCGCGACTTCACTTTTGACAAGTCTGTCTCCTTCTATACCCGCTTTCCTCACCGAGGTATCCCGATTGCCCCGCCCCTATGGTCCCCACCACCCTGATAGCCCCTGCTCCTCTCCCTCCCCGTCGTGCTTCGTCTGGTGTGTCTCACGTCACTCCCCTCTCGTCGGTCGTCCCGTTGGAGGAGTCGGCTGACTCTGGGGGCCGTACGGCTCCAGGTTCGCCGCCTGTCTCTGCACCGGTTGCTCCTCCTCCGCCACCGCAGCCTCAATCATCGTCGCTCCCGCAACAGCCGCCGTCGTTGTCGCTGCCGTAGCAGCAGCCGCCGTCGCCGCAGCAGGGGTTCGCGAGCTCTGGGGGTGCGGGCGTTAAGGAGGGTAATGGATCTGGGGGTGCTCGTCCTGGGATTACTATCGTGGCTTGTCCCGGCGGTCCTGAGGGTGGCGCGGGTGCTGGAGAGGTTTCTCTTTCTGGGGGTGTTAGCGTGGAGCGTCCCGGAGGTAGTCGTCGTGCAGCTGGAGGTTCTGGTGTAGGCGTGGAGCAGCAGCAGCAGCAGTCGCCGCGGGTGTCCGCCCTTCGCCTCCTCGGTCTTCCTTCCCCCGACCGCCCGCCTGTGCCTCCCCCACCGCACCCTCCCGCGCCTATCTACGTCCCTGTGTTTCCTCCTCCGGACTAGTCCCCGGCTCGTTTCCCCCCTCGTTCTCCTGTTGTGTCTCCTCCTTTGTCTCTTGACCCGTCCCCGCCTCCCGCTGGTGGTCTCACCGTGCCTCTCGTGCTCGTCCTGTCTCTCCTGTTCAGCACTCTCACCCTATGTTGCTGCGTTCTCACATTCCTACGTGTCTCGTGCTCCTCTTCTACCGTCGCCTCCTCCGTCATCGCTTGTTGTCTCCCCTACCTCCTCTCTCTGACTTCCTCCGTGCCGCGAGTACGCTAGTCCCTCAAGTTCTCGCTTCTCTTGTTACTGACCTGTTTGTTCCTGTCTCCAATCTTGATGCTCTTGTCGATGTTGTCACTGACTTAGCCTCTACCCTCCGCCTTGACTACGCCACCGCTCTGGTTTCTGACCATGCCCGTCCTTCGTCCGTCTGACCCTGCCCGTCCTTCGTCCGTCGGGGGTCCACCTGCCCTTAGCAGTGATGTTCTAGAGGATAGGCAGTACGAGCTCACTTTCCTGTCCGAGGCCACTCGTTTTAGCTGCATGCTGCTAGTCCCTGAGGGTGACCCAGACACTCTTGACATCCCGAACCCTCGCACTTACGCTGAGGCGTCCTCGGAACCCTAGGCCTCTCAGTGGATAGTTGCCATGGAGCAGGAGATGGCATCTTGGAGATCCACCGGCACCTACGTCGACGCAGTTACCCCATCTGGGGTGAACGAAGTTGATGGCTGGTAGTTTTTCAAAGTGAAGCGCCCTCCTGGAGAGCCGCCAGTGTTCAAGGCGCACTACATTGCTAAAGGCTTCAGTCAGTGCGAGGGTGTTGACTTCTTCAGACCTTCGCCCCTACCCCGAAGATGACCACACTTTAGGCGTTGCTACACGTAGCAGCATACAGTGACTATGAGCTGCACTCCCTCAACTTTTCCACAGCGTTTCTCTAGGGCAGTCTGCAGGAGCAGGTCTACCTGCACTGTCCGCCCACCTTCACCAGCACCTTCGCCCCTGGTACCGAGTGGCTCCTCCGGCGCCCGGTTTATAGCCTGCAGCAGGCGCCCCATGAGTGGCACGCCACACTGCGTGCTCCTTTAACCGACCTACTGTTCTTCCCATCATCTGCAGACCCTTCGCTCTTTGTTCGTTCTGGCCAGACCACGTTCTACATAATTGTCTACGTAGACGACCTAGTCTTCGCTACTACAGACAGAGATGCACTGGCCTCTGTAAAGGCTGAACTGCTGAGGAGACACACCTGCACTGACGTAGGTGAGCTGCGCCGCAACCTTGGCCTGCAGATCTCTAGGGACAGAGCAGCGCACACCATCACTCTTACACAGTCACTCTTGGTGCGCCACGTCCTTCAAAGGTTCGGTCTTCAGTTTTCCTCCGCACATCCCACACCTCTTCCAGTAGATCACAAGCTCTCGGCTCCGGTCTTTGAGGAGTCAGTAGAGCCTTGTGGTCCTTACGCAGAGCTGGTGGGTTGCCTGATGTACCTGATGACTTGCACTCGTCCAGATCTCGCATACCCTCTCAGCATCCTGGCTCGCTTTGTGGCGACAGGCAGACACCGACCATAGCACTAGTCGTCCGCTAAGAGGGTTTTGCATTATCTAGCAAGTACATCGGTCATGGGGCTAGTGCTAGGAGGATGCAGGCCAGTGGTCCATACAGGACACACAGACACTTCATGGGCAGATGATGCTGAGATGCTCAGGTCCTCCCAGGGCTACTGCTTTAGCTTTGGTGCAGGCGCCATCTCGTGGAGGTCCACCCGCTCGTCGTCTGTTGCACAGTCTAGCAGTAAGGCTGAGATCTATGTGGTGCCATGGCGGCACTGGAGCTCCGCTGGCTAACTTTCTTGCTCACAATCTTAGGTGAGCGGCCTAGCTCTGTCCCGGCCCTGTATGCTGACAACAGGGCCATGATCTTCCTGTGTCAGGAGCCTCAATTGGAGGGCAGAGCGAAGCACATCCAGCTATGGTACTTCCATCTGTGCAAGCTACAGGAGCGCCGCTAGGCCCGCGTAGTTCACTTGGCCTCCGGTGCCAACACAGCTGATATCTTTACGAAGGCGCTTGCGCTTAAAGATCATCAGCAGCACTGTATACAGCTTGGTCTAGTTCCTATAGCTTGTCACTTGCTATGACCTTGATTGTGTATTATATTTTATATTACCTTTACTTGCCTTGTGGCTCCTGTTCCAGTGGTTGGACTAGTAGTGCCGCCTTGGGTTACTCTTGTTTCCTTTTTACTCTTACTGATTGGTCTTCAGACCCTTGTCTCAGAGGTTGGACTAGTACTGCCACCCTGAGCTGGGTGTCTCTTGCTAGTCGTGCCCCTTGTCTAGCCTAGGGGGTGTGTCAACATATATTTGTATATGTTATAGGCTAGATAGGTGTATGCTTGTAGAGAGTACAACTCCTTAGGAAAAAACCACCCTATATTACTCTTTCTAGTTCATTGCATTATTCTGAGTTTTCGCTCACATGCGTAGAGGTGGAGGTCTGATGAAAGCCTGGAAGG